AGCGGCCCAGCCTCCGTCTGCATCCCGCAGAACGGCTCGTGCCTGTGCGGCGGCGGCCATCTGTTCTGCAAGTTTGGCAGATGCGACGACCAGGGACACTGCAAGTGTGATCCAGGATATACTGGCGCTAACTGCACCAAGGGTAAGCCAACAAGACACTGATACAGCAGCAGCAGCCGGAGCTTGCAAGGACCGTAATTATTAATTATTGATTTGAATCGCAGTATTAAAAGAGACTGATACTGGTTAAGGAGCCGTCCGTAAATATCGAACTTTTTTCACCAAACGAATTATTTTAGTTTAGACCCAACCCCTCCCTCCCCCTCAGAACGTAAAAATTGTTGACATATACATGCATATACAACAAAAGTCGCAAGTGTGTCACTGCTCCTATGGCCATGTACATGTATCGAACTTTTCTGAAACGAAATTGGTCAACCCCCTCCCACCCCATAACGAAATTATTTCGTTTCGTGAAAAAAGTTCGATAATTATGGACGACCCCTAAGGAGGGAGGTTTTCTAAACCATAATAGTAATAGCCTTTATGAAAAATGCGACAGAACCTCTTACTATTGACAAGAGTACATAACCTCCACTATGGGTCGCGGCTGTCCCGACAGAATTTCAAGTTGACATCATTGTTATGATGCAGTGCGCAGGGTTGTTGTTGTTGTTTCTTTACGGTACACGTATTATCAGACGTATCACTGAACCTGCGGTGGACACAGTCATATTTGATCCCGTACAAACTAGGTCAAAGAAAACGTGTGATGGGTTGACACCCCGGACAAATGTCGTGAATCACTGGTGCAGGGAGCACTGCATCATACGAATGACGTCAACTTGAAATCCTGTCGGGACAAACAGGGCATGCGAGATTTGCACACTCTTGGGGGTTATGTACTCTTGGTACTGTAAAAGCCATTACTCTAACGAGGCGCATATATAACGATTTCCCAAAATTGACTAGTTTACGTGTACCAAAGGTAACGATTCTCACTTATTCTCAACGCTCAATAGGACACTATATGTATCGATTTCTGTATAACAATTTCTATTTTAACGACAGATTTCTCCTCCTTAACTCGTTACAGTTAGCACTTTGTTATGGCTTTTACAGTATTGATCATACAGGTACTTGAGATATGTGTATGTATCAACTTCAATTCAACAGACCTCCACGGAACATAGCATCTGTGATTAATTAATCAATAGCCGATATACCCCTGAAAATGATCAAGGCTCAACAAAGCTGCATGTGGCGTCCTGTGTGATATTTAAAAAAGCAATCCCCTCATCCAAGCTGAAACGCCTGGCAAAGTAGGATTCTCATACTGTGCCCTGCACATGATGTCAAAACAAAAGAGCGTGGTCCTTCAATGGTGCATTACACTGATCATAATAATTAAATTGCCAGCATGGCCAACAATGTAGTGGACAACTTAGAAATTCGACAACGCTTTGCAGTGGCATTCACTACTCCGCACGAAAGTTGCTGACTTTGGCCCAGTTGACAGCCAGGCCACGTAACAACTGCAGGCAGCTTGGCACCCGACCGATATGATAACTGCACTACAAACACAGAAATTCACGGTTCGCGTGGGACGCTTGGCTGGAAGCCCAGTTTTCCGCATCCGCAGAAACGCCACCACCCTCTAGGATCAAAATCACCACATACAACACAACTACAACACTACTGTACATTCTCTCTCTCTCTCTCTCTCTCTCTCTCTCTCTCTCTCTCTCTCTCTCTCTCTCTCTCTCTCTCTCTCTCTGTCTCTCTCTCTCTCTCTCTCCTCTCTCTCCTTCTCTCCTTCTCTCTCTCCTTCTCTCTCTCCTTCTCTCTCTCTCTCTCTCTCTCTCTCTCTCTCTCTCTCTCTCTCTCTCTCTCTCTCTCTCTCTCTCTCTCTCTCTTCTCTCTCTCCTTCTCTCTCTCCTTCTCTCTCTCCTTCTCTCTCTCCTTCTCTCTCTCCTTCTCTCTCTCCTCTCTCTCTCTCTCTCTCTCTCTCTCTCTCTCTCTCTCTCTCTCTCTCTCTCCTCTCTCTCTCTCTCTCTCTGTCTGTCTCTCTCTCTCTCTCTCTCTCTCTGTCTCTCTCTGTCTCTCTCTCTCTCTCTCTCTCTCTCTCTCTCTCTCTCTCTCTCTCTCTCTCTCTCTCTCTCTCTCTCTCTCTCTCTCTCTCTCTCTCTCTCTCTGTTCTTCTCAGCCTGCGCACCAGGCGTTTACGGCCAGGGATGCCTGCAGAAGTGTGCCTGCGACTCGGCTGCGACCTGCAGCAACCGTGATGGCACCTGCTTCTGCCCTGGCAATGTTGTCATTGCTGGAATAGAGAAGAACTGCTCCGGGCAGGGAACGTGCAAGAGTCTCGGACAATGTACTTGCAACGCCGGCTTCACTGGTGCCGACTGCAGCTCGTGTAAGTCCTCTTTGTACTTGGTATTAGTAAGGTGGAACAGAATTTTATTGCAACTCAGAGTCTCACGCCTATGTGATCTTCAGGCAGAAATTGTTTGAAACAGGAATGGGGTCTTGGGGTCTGTTCCACCTTACTGGTAAGAAAGCTCTGTCCTCCCAGGCATTGCCAGCACGTTGTGCGCAGAGAGGATGCCACCTACTTAGTATGTGTTATATTCACCGCAGCACACCATACCGCGTGCAAGCATCCTCTTCTGTGCTATACGCCACACCTGCGTGGTTATGCACAGTTCACACATTCTCTGCGGTGGACCAAACACAATTTAAGACCGTCCCTACATGCCTTCTATGTTTAACCTGCGTTTCCAGTATGGCCAGCCTCACACGACACGGTACACGCATTAACTTCGATTTATACATAGCGTGGAGTCCTCAGACAGGATTGCTTTCTTCACGGACATACCCTGGGCCTGATTGTGCTGGCCTGATGCGAAGCAGTTGTCTGAGTTTACTTCTCCGTCTTTCCGGTGTGCATACCGGCTTGTTCTTTCATCCCTGTGCAGCGTGTCCACACGGCAAGTTCGGATTTGGCTGCACGCAGCCCTGCCCCGTCTGCAAGGTCAACGAGGTGTGCAGCCCGTACGATGGCTCCTGCGTCCTCCACTGCAGCTCCCAGTCTGGAGACCTTTGCCAGCACGGTGGCATCTGTCTGGCCAGCGGTGGCTGCAACTGCACAGACACTGGTTATGGTGGTGCTCACTGCGATGTTGGTAAGCTCATGACTACACTGAATAGTAGTAGTACTCCTTAATACAGATGGGAACATATTCTAGACATTTAAAATTGCTCTATTCTTTGGCATCAAAATAATCCGGTTGTGTCTTGTAACTAAGTTATTAAAGGGGAAGTTAAGGCAAAAATTAAAATTTCACCAGTTGTAGTCTTCGAGGTGCTGAGTCGAATGGTCTTGGTCCGAGAAAGCTGAGACGCTCCCTTCCTACTTGAATCCCAATCGAACTCGCGCACTTCCACCGAAACTGGGTGACTGCGCCCTACTAGATGGGGATTTGTATGCAAAATGTCACTAAAAGCGCCATTTCGTTCTTATAGAAGCACGGATGACCGCGATTGGCCCATATGTTGTAGTCTTTTGGACGCTGAGTCGACTGGTTTTGGTCCGAAAAGGCTGCGATGCAGCGTTCCTCCTTTATTCCCAATCGAACATGGTTGAACAAGTGGTCACGTGCTCCTGGGTGCCCAAATCATCTGGTCACCACGCCAGCAGGCGACAACTTTCACACCAAGGTTCAACTCGAGTTCAACTCAAGTGACAGGACTGCACCCAAAAAAGGTCAAACAGGCTAGTAAGTTGTACCCTGCAGGCACGGTGACCAGGTGTCTGGTGTACGCAGGAGAACGTGACCGCTTGTTCAACCATGTTCGATTGGGAATAAAGGAGGAACGCTGCATCGCAGCCTTTTCGGACCAAAACCAGTCGACTCAGCGTCTAAAAGACTACAACATATGGGCCAATCGTGGTCATCCGTGCTTTTATGAGAACGAAATGGCGCTTTTAGTGACATTTTGCATACAAATCCCCATCTAGTAGGGCGCAGTCACCCAGTTTCGGTGGAAGTGCGCGAGTTCGATTGGGATTCAAGTAGGAAGGGAGCGTCTCAGCTTCCTCGGACCACGACCATTCGACTCAGCACCCCGAAGACTACAACTGGTGAAATTTTGATTTTTGCCTTAACTTCCCCTTTAAAGCCTGTCTCATATAGAAGCCTGTTTTGAATACAAGCCTGGTTTTCAAGATTCACCGTCGGCACATAAGTAGGGATATCAGCGAACGCACTGCGCAGCCCATCTGCACAGGTCAGCCTGGCCCATCTACGCGTGGCCGACAAGAAAACTCATGAACACTTTCATTTTTTTTGCAAAATAAATCGTGCGAAGAAGATGCACGGAATGGCTGAAAACTTGGCTGAGGAACAGTAGCATCCAGAGACTCTCAAACAAATTTATGGTCCATCGCTTCTGACAATGGCAGCGAAGACATCAGGGAGCTGATTGCAGCAGCTCTCTACCAAGCGAGATGTTGGGTTACTCACCAGGGCAGGGCGCTTCCATCGCGCAAGAAATGGCCGCGAGCGAGAAATGTAAGTCCGATTTTGGAAGGATCCAACCAGGGAAATCCCTTGAAAACTGGCCTGAACACCTCTCATACTGGTGTTTCACGATGTGCAAACTTTCAGAGAAATCGACCGGGGAGAACGTAGTGAGTACGTGGGTCCTCCGCATCGCTTATGATTTGAATGGTCGCGGGGACAGAAGAACAGTAATTTAACGACTCCCAGCGGTGCAAACAGACCGCGGCCATGTTTTCTCTGTCGGCCGCAATCACGTTCAAAAAATCGATTACGCAATGCATGCGCAGAGGCCTGCGCAGTGCGTTCGCTGACATCCCTAACATAAGCCTGGTTTTAGTGTTGACACACATAGAAATGCGTGGTTTGAATAGAAGCCTGATGTGAATAGAAGCCTAGCCCTGCCAGCGGCTTCTACAGGAATAAGCTCGGCTGTAATCCTAGCGGCTACATTATGGAAAGTGGACTGCGAAACGGTTACCTGGCTGCAGAGATACGGTTTTAATTAGGGGTGAAAGTTGGCACTGAGATCCCGAGTTCGAGTACTCTGATTTTCTCCGATCGAATATTCGAGTATTTGAGTATTTTTCTATCTCCTAAAAATTGCACACCAAGGGCTTTAAAATAACATTATACATCCCGGATCGAGCCGAGTAGCAGTCATTTTCTCGGGTATATTGGTTGGTGGGTCATTTAGGCTCTCTCTACTCGTGAACAAATGTTCACCACACAGTCTGCACATCACCATCTGCCGACTGCTGCCCTGAAACTGCAGATTTCTGTAGTGAATGCATGTACCATGTATGAACAAGTACTCTGATTTATTCCGAGTACGATTATTTTTGAAAAAACCGAGCGAGTACTCGAGTACTCGGTATAATTGTTTCACCCCTAGTTTTAATTCATTTCAGTATACGTATGGTGACCGCACTTGTATGCCTAGTTTTCAGTAGTGTTTTCGTTAGTTCAAACTGACCGGCCCACCGGTATTTTTTCAAGCTATTTTCCCGACCATTGCACTTTTCCTCTGTGTGTGTGTGTGTGTGTGTGTGTGTGTGTGTGTGTGTGTGTGTGTGTGTGTGTGTGTGTGTGTGTGTGTCACCTGTCCAGGCGTGCTTGATCTCAGCATCATGTCACTCCAAATCTACAAGCAGTACAACGGCGGCTACGTTGAGGCTACCTGGGTCCTGCCACCCACTCTCGCAAGCTTCTCTGTAAGATGCGTGTGTTGTGCATTGCGTGAGGCAACACAGTTCTACGTGATATTTCTTGTTCCGGCTTCCGTTAACGACATGCCATGATTCATGTGCCCATGTATTACAACGTGAGGCTGTCGCTGGATGGCTACGTATTTCCAAAGGAGACAGTACGTGAGCCACAGGGCTGGTCAGTGAAACTGAACCTCAAGCACGCGTGTCGCACCAAATGCCTTGCATCTGTGAAACCCAGCTCAGTTCATGCCTCCGCATTGCTATGTGTGGTGCGGCTCTCGAGCGAGTGGTCGGATTTTCATTGGACACTACCGTGCTAGCGGGAAGTTCAAACTAGCCTTGACCACAGCGGAACAGTAATTATCCGTGTGTTCAATTTTTTATATGGAGTTGTCTCACGTCTATCACATGACCATACGCCACAGCCATGTTGGTTCCAACTCCACTCAAGCCTGGCATCAATGGGTCACCTGATGACGGCAACGCATGTTGGTGCCACTGTTCACTTCCTACACAACTCTAGTCACATGACATGATCACTTCCAATTCCCAGTTCCCGCACAACTCTAGTCACGTGACATAATCGATCACTTCCAATTCCCAGTTCCCACACAACTCTAGTCACATGACATTATCACTTCCAATTCCCAGTTCCCACACAACTCTAGTCACGTGACATGATCCTTCCAATTCCCAGTTCCCACACAACTCTAGTCACATGACATGATCACTTCCTATTCCCAGTTCCCACACAACTCTAGTCACGTGACATGATTACTTCCTACACAAATCTAGTCACATAACAACGATATGAAACCATGGGGTCAACCGTGTCTATTATGCTGCATGTCTATTATGCTGCATGTCTATTATGCTGCATGACATGCAATATTGCACGTGAAGGACCTGTAGGGACCTGCGTTCACTGACTACACAGACATTGTATTTGACTGGCCTTGCATGCTGGGTTTGTTGATGTGCTCAGGTCTACGAACCATTGCTGTTCATCGTGCTGACGGACATCACGGCCAACTCGATGAAGAGCTTCACTGAGAAGTCAAGTCTGACCAGCTACAACCTGATCACGATCCCGAACCACTACTACAAGCTTTCCATCTCCATCAAGACCGGCGCTGGTGGCGGTGTACCGGTCGAGGGCAAATTCACAGCCAACTCATGTAAGATAAGCGAGCGCATTGTGAGCTTCCTCACCCTTACTACCCCTCGTTTCTGGCCAGGGCAAACTGTTTCGAGACACTGCACTGCAGCACACACCAGCTGGCACGGCTGTTCACGTGCAGGCACTTATAAATATGGCGTCGTTCGGTGCGATTTATGTAACATTGTGCGAATAGTACAAATACGCGATGTGTTTTTGGAAGAAACTCATGTCGATCCTCGCGTGGTTCCACGATTTGGGACGCGAAACCAAGAGAAAAGTCTTGAAAGCGCTCGAGCGATACACTCGACTTTTCGGCAATTTGAGAGAGAAAGAGGGTGGAAAGGCGTCCTGGCCTGCCCAGTTAGCTGTCTTTCCGCTTCAAACTTGCTCGAACTACTCCTGGCAGTTTGGAGATTGATCTCGCCAGTGATTGTCAGCCTCTGCTTGGCGTGCTCGCGTGTACAACATTCAAGTTAGACATTTCGTAATCGTTCAACGCACAATAGGGTAGATATCACAATTTCAAGCTCACTTGGCTGGCTGCTGTCTTCTTCTACAATATCCCACATGCCGACTAAGCAATTTACAGCAGGAAGCAGCCTTCTACACTCAACAGCAACTAAAGGGCCACACCATTTGTCTTCCAAATCAAGAGAAAACCGGCTCCGGACTCGTCGCGAGTATTTAGAAGTTCACGCGCGTATTCTAATCACAATTGGGGAAGACAACCAGAGGATAGTCCTCTACCTGGGAAAATATCGATCTAAGCTGGGAAAAAATCGGGAAGGGCTTCTCGGAGCCGAGTTTGTCAGCGACGACACAAGGAGTATTCCAGAACGAAGCCAAAGTCGCACGACACAGAACAAATGTTTCTTGAAGGAAAAGCAGTCATGTGAGGTACGAGCGGAAAGCTTGAAACAAGACGCAGATGGTCAGCGTGTTCCCCCGGCTGTCCGGGCTGACTAGTCTCCAAAATCCAGGGGAAACCATGGCCTACTCGTGTTCTGACGATTTGAAAATTCAAATTTTCTTGCCATTGAAGCCCAATCGAGACTTTCGGCGGCCATATTGTTAACCCTTTTACGGTCTCACATTCGAAAATCGATCACCGGTGATCGATTTTCCAAACTATCGTAACTCAGTCAATTTTTGAGCAAATTCGAACATCTAAATATCTGGGTTGAAGAGAAAGCTCCAGGCTATCCGTAGGAACAATCGCCGAAGCGATAGAGTGAACTCCTGCGATGCTACGAAGCTCGCGATCTGCGTCACGGCTCATTCACGATTTGAGTGGGCGAGCTGGGTCTTGAGGACGGGTTTTTCCCTTTGCAGCTAGCTGTCGCCATAGAGACACGGATTCAAATGAGAGTATGGACTCGCAGCACTCCTCACAAAAAATATGAGCTCGATGTGAGCAAGGAGAGGGAAATGGCTGTTGAATCTTGTTTCTCGTCGTGAATCAAGCACTGGGGCGATGTCGCTGCGCTGGATCCACGGCACGCTTGGTGTCGAATTGTAGCTCGGCGTGTTGCTCTTGTCCAGAGCTTTCCAGAGAGCCCAAGATCACGAAAATCAGCGAAAGGAAACTGAAGTTATGGATGAATCAAGGTACGAAATTGTTGAATTCTGTAAATAGCCTCATTTTGACTGGATTCTGAGACCGTGAAAGGGTTAAGTGGCGTGAAATCGCACAAAAAAAAAACAGCCGTGCTGGCCACTTGCCTGGAACTTCAAAATAGAGAGGTTGAGATGCACGTTATTTCCGACGTGACGTGCAATTTCACGTCAAATTTTGGCGTAAGACTCCAAATTTCGACGCGAGCTGCAGGTCACTCGCGTTGTTTTTCGACGTGCGAGCCAAATATCGCGAGCTGAACTTTCGCGTCACGTCAGAAATAACGTGCATCTTAAATTCTTAACCTCTCTAATAACATAATGTCAGTACCTTTCAAGGACGTAAAAATCAGTACTTGTAGTTTGTAGCCGAGGTACGCTATATCCAAGGTTAAATGACTGAAAAGGGACACGCAGTGTCTTTGAAAAGTACAGTGTGTACTTTATATCCTATGCAAAGAGAAAAGTATGTTCTATCCAAGGTGGACTCGGATGGAGAGCCAAGGATTAATTTATACTTGAAGTAGAAAATATAAAGGACCAAGGAACTACAAGTTTATCTTCTACTTCAAGTATATCCAAGGTGCTTTGTATTTTTCAACTGTCTCTCTATGCATCGATGACTGACCGTACGTTGCCTGCCGGTGTGTGTGTGTGTTTGTTGGTGTGTTTGTGTGCGTGCAGTGTGTCTGCCTGGAGACGTCAGCGTAGACTGTCGCTTCGCCAACTGCGGCAGCAAGTGCACGTCGCAGCAGTTCTGCGACTCTCTGACCAGCGAGTGCCTGAACAAGTGCTACATTCAGAACAACTGCGTGCAGGGCACGTGTGATGAGACCACCGGCCAATGTTCATGCAATGCTGGTTACGGTGGAGTGCATTGTGACACAGGTGAGTAATGGAAGCCCAGAAACATTTGCGCCAGTTTTAGTTCGCGATTTGCGAACACAGACAAATTTGCACCTGGAGAGGTTTGCCGCGGATTGGAGTCAATTTTCTCAGTTTTTTTTACTACACTTCTACGTTTCATGCCAGCGCACTTTCGCGATTTCACACCCATCGCGAAAATCGCGAAGGATTCTGGATCCCAAAGGTTTCCGGATTTACAGTAGTGTGAATTTCTACAGTGACCTATCCATTTCAACAGTAACTCAACTGGGTGTAACTCGACATGTCACTGGGTGTGTGGTATCCAAATGTTTAGGACCAGTGCTACTTCGTCACAATAGAGTGATTTCACGTCTTTGTATGTGACGAAATCATAAGTGTAGAAAGTCACAACGGCACGCGGATAGTGGAACCAACATGGCCGATATCATGTCACTCATGCAAGCCTTAATTCTAGTCCTGATTCCCTTCTCTTTCCTTTCCTCTCTCTTGCTTGGCGTTACAGAGAATCCAAACTCTGCAAACACCGGAGCAAACACCGGAGCAAACACCGGTACCGGCAGTAAGTTCTTCGAAAGCAGTGTGTTGGCGTGCTGTTATTGTTGTTGATTTTATTTTTCACTTGATAAGTCCAAACTGAGCATGCCGTCTTCTAACTGGGTGTCGAAGATGAACACATACTTCTGCAGTACCTCCCATCTAAAGGCAGTTAAAAGAATGTTGCCAAAATGCGGACAGAAAGGAGCTGGGCGCATGATAGAGCTCGTTGCATACTGATGAGAAGAAAGTGTCGTTATTCACGAGTTGTTGGTATTCACGAGGTTGATAGTATGCAGTCAAATAATCAGACGGCCATTCCAGGAACATGCCCTGTTTAGGGGGCCAGGATCAAAGAGGCTTATGGTGTTATCCCAGTTTCTTTCTACAGTGCGTGCAAGCACCTATTGTGATAGTGTGATACATGTGAGGGGGGCAACAACAAATGAGAGATTTATCCAGATTATTAGTTACGCCCATACCGAGATATGGAAAACGGCCAAACTGATGAGTGAGGCGATGCTTAGCCCTGTGCTTGATGTTTTGAATTGCGTGCATGGCCCAAAATGACCCAACTCTCACAAGATCAAAGGAGCGCACAAATATTCAACATAGACAAAAACTTCTTCTTGTTCCAAAAAAAACCCAACACAAGAGCTACCCTGTCCTACCAAAAATCACAGCAAAAAATGTAAATCAGCTGTTACGCATGCGCTGCCTACAACGGCGGGAAACTGAAAAGAGCAGGCTAGGCACGAACAGGCACGTGCATGATATTACCATCATCAATAAAACCGCACAGCACAGGGGTAGCTACACTTGAGATGAGAACAGGCCAAACATCATGAATGAGAAGCGAGAGTCACTCGGCCACACAGACCAATGAAACACAACAGATAGTCTATACACAACATTCCTCCCCCTTGAGCAAACATGCAAATAGCAGGGGAGCGAAAACTACATACACCCAGAAGAGCAAAAAAAACAAAAACAACGAAAAACAAAAGGCAAAAACAAGTATATGCCACACCAGCATCTTGCCAGGAAAAACAAAAGAGCATAATGTGTACTTCCTCCGATAGAACTAGCTCATCAGCACCGAAACTATCGAAGACCTTTGCAACCCACTCGTGCTGTAACACGCATAACATGATTCCTATCACCCATAGCTCTAACAGTACCACACAGCATGAAATATGGCTAGCAGATATTTTATTTCATTATCACTGATCAGCCAACGTCTTCGGTATTAGAATCAGTTACTCAGTACTTAGCTCGGGGCGATGAGTTTCACTTCACAGGTCACGCATCTTCACGACCGACTCCAAGCTGTCAACTCGGTCACTCGACGGCTCCACTTCCAGAGGCACAAGGTAGCGAACATGCCGACGGTAGACTTTTCCCCGGATGTTGACATCCACCACACGTGTCGCTCCGTCCTTGCCTGGGTAGACGGCTTCCACTCTTCCCAATGGCCACTTTGCTCGTGGAAGATGGTCGTCGAGGCATAGCAGAACATCTCCAACCTGAGCTGACCTCTGAGCACGTTGCCACTTGGTAGTCAGGTTCAACCGTGAGACAACCTCTCTCTTCCAGCGCCTCCAAACTACCTTCAGTAAATGCTGGATGATGTCGAAACGCCGATGAGGATGAGCTCGCTCAGCCAACTCTGCCTGTTCCTCCAGTGGACTCGTGACTCGAGCGTGTCCCACCAGAAAATGGTGAGGCGTCAATGGCTGAGGGTCCGCGGCATCAGTAGAAACCGCAGTTAGTGGCCTAGAGTTGAGTAACCCTTCCGCCTGAACAAGAGCAGTATGCAGTTCCTCATCGGTAAGATCCGCTTTATACAAGACTGTCTGCAGTACTTGTTTCAATGAGCGAACGACCCGCTCAAACACACCACCAGTGTGAGGCGCCCTCGGGGGGTTAAAAACCCACTGTGTCCCTTGGGCTGCCAACGCTGCTGAGACATCACCAGTACCAAGACTTTGTACAGCTTCACGCAACTCCCGCTCTGTCCCGACGAAATTCGTCCCATTATCTGAGAGGATCATGGTTGGGGTTCCACGGCGCTTGGTGAAGCGTACCAGGGCCATTTTAAAACCGTCCGTGTCTAAGGAGTACACTACCTCGAAATGGCAAGCCCTGGTTTGCAGGCATGTGAAGATCGCTGCATACCGCTTTTCCTGGACACGTCCGCGGCCACGTTTTACGTAAAACGGCCCAGCAAAGTCGACTGCTGTACGTGAGAAGGCGAGTAGCTGACCTTCGGTTCTGAAATTGGGTAGCGGACCCATCGCTGGTGAGTACGGCTTGTTCCACAAACGTTTACAGCCGACACAGGCCTGACGATACGGCTTTAGCGTCTGTCTCCCCTTTACGATCCAGAACTTGTCAGCTAGCTTCGATAGCAGGTGGTTGGTACCAATCGAGTGTGAGCATTGCCGATCTTCTTCTGCAATGACCAATTCCGTCACCCGATGCTTCTGAGGTAATATCAAGGGACACCGAAACTCACTGGCCAGATGATGAGCCGTCCTCAGTCTCCCGCCAACTCGTAACACCGGGACTTCAGCGCTGCTGTCCAGGAACGGCCGCAGCTTGACAAGAGGTGATGAGGATGGTAGTTCCTTGCCGTTCATCAGAGTGTGGTACACGTCTGGGTACTGGTCTCTCTGTGATCGCGTCACCCAATACTGCTCAGCACTGTCAACCTCTGCTACTGCTGAAAGCTCCGGCACATTAAGAGAAGAACATTGGCTGCCCAAGTTCACTTCAACCACGGGGGCCACCCCCGTGCTGGTATAAGCTTGTTCTCCAGCGCGGGCTGACCTGAGGCAGTGGATAAACCGGCGACACCAGGCTGTTACACGTAGGAGATGAGGCCACGCAGAGTAGTTCCCGGGGTCCAGTCGAGTCTCAGCAGGATGACACTCAACTGCATGTAGGCTGACCATGGCAGTAGCTACCTTGGATACTTGCATGCATGGAAGGACGGAGGGCACGGCAATCATTTTCTTTGGCCACTGGTCAGCACCGAAGGAGAGGAATCGAGGCCCAGACCACCACGTTCCCCGTTCCACGAGTTGCTGGGCAGAGAGTCCACGAGTAGGAAGATCAGCGGGATTCTCCTTTCCGGGAACATGCTGCCACTGCGCAGGACGCGAAAGACGCTGGATTTCTGAAATGCGTTTGCCGACGTCAACCTTAAACTTTCTACTGAGCGAGCGAACCCAGTAGAGGACGTTCATCGAGTCTGTCCAATAGTTGACGTCATCTGTTCCAACACCAACCGCTCCACTGACGTACTGACCCAGGCGTGCACCGAGTACTGCACCCTGTAGCTCAAGCTGAGGGATCGTTCGCCGCTTGATGGGAGCCGGCCGCGCCTTTGCCATGATCAACGTGACACGTGCTCCGCCATCACTCTCCGCCACTCGCACATAAGCTGCTGCGGCATATGCCAATGCGGAAGCGTCCGTGAACACATGGACGGTGATGTCGTTGACCCAATCATCTCCCTTGAAACAGCGACGGATCTTGAGGTGAGAAAGAGTGTCGAACTCACTAAACCACCGGCTCCATGAAGCAAGATGAGCATCTGGCAGCGTGTCGTCCCAGCCGATTCCAGAGAGACATAACTCTTGGAACATTATCTTGGCCCTTATGGTGAATGGCGACAGCTGACCCCTTGGGTCGAACAATGTTGCCATGCGGCTCAAGACTGACCGCTTCGTAAACACTGTCGGAGATGATCCCTTGTAGTGGAACGTGAAGTAGTCCCCCTTGACCATCCACTTCACACCTAAGGCTTTCTGGGACACCTCAGGATGCGAGGGGCTCTCTGCAATTGACCTGGACTCTGCCGCGGCCCGCTCCTCAGCAGGAATAGACGCCATGACCTCTGGGCTGTTGCTTAGCCACTTACGTAGCGTGAACCCGCCACGCTTCAAGAGGGCCTGAGTCTCCACTCGAGCAAGAATCGCCTGCTGTACGTCACGTAGCGACTTGAGAAGATCATCGACATAGAAGGAGTCCCGCACAATGTCGCTGGCAATAGGATCATACTGGTCTCCAAAGCGCTCGGCAGTAGCTTGCAAGGCTCGTCCAGCTAAATAGGGTGACGCCTTGATCCCGAAGACCAGCCGCATGAATTCGTACGTCTCAACTGTTTCGCCAGGCTGCCATAGGAACCGGTGGTATCTTCGGTCTTCTGGGGAAAGGGACACCTGGAGAAACATCTCCGAAACATCGCCCATCAGTGCGATAGGCTCAAGGCAGAAGCGAATCAGGAGCTTCACGAGGTCGGCCTGCAGTTTCGGTCCAGCCAACATCAAGTCGTTCACAGCAACATTATTTGCTCTGGCGGCAGCATCAAAAACAACGCGGGCTTTAGTCGTTGCCTTATCCTCCCGTATAACAGCGAAATGCGGCAGATAACACTGTGATGAGCCGCATTGTTCAACTTCCTCAGTTGTCAGTTTCCGGATGTAGGACTTCTGCAGGTAGTCTTCCAGGACCTTCGCATACCTTGGCAGCATACCTGGCCGTCGCTGCAGCGATCGCATGAGTGCGCGGAGTCGGTTCTCAGCCAGCACCTTGTTGCTCGTGACATCAGGCTGCTTGGCGCCGTCCTTCCAGGGGATTCCGACTTCAAACCGACCGTCCTTGTAGTTCAGGGTTCGCTGAGTTGAAGTCACCGCTTGCTGCTCGTCCGGAGTCAAGTACTGGTCTGACTTTGGTAACATTCCAACCGCTTCAAGATCCCAGAAACGACTCACCAGGTGGTCCAAATTGGTACCAGCAGTGGTCACCGCATGGAACGTCGAATGCGTCGGTGTGGATGGACATAGTACTGGCCCAAAACAGACCCATCCGAGAGGAGTCTTCCGAGCAATAGGGTCACCATCGCCTCCATGACGTTCCTCATCCGCACGGTGAAGCACTGGTGATTTCAAGCCAATCAGCAAGTCGAGGTGATTGTCTCCTGCTGTCTTGAACGATACGTCACGAAGATGTGCCCAGTTGTCCTGAATCTCCTTCCAGTTCACCAATCGCAGATCCGTCGTTACTCTGGGCAGGACATATGCCTCAAGCTCCGTAGCCTTGTCACCACCATCATGCTGGACCGCTAGCGTCACCACTTGGAGAGTGTCGTTAATTGCGCCACCACCGATAACGCCGACCGACACTTTCTTCCTGCTCCCCCCTAGACGGAGACGCCTAGCCAGACGCTCTGAGACATAGCTGCACGAGGATCCTGAGTCCAGGAGGACGTTGGCTGTAGCCTTCGCTGTACCACCTCTGACTTCTGCCTGCGTGACCATAAAGGATGTTAGCCCAGCATTGGAGTCGTCTGTAGCTGCTGTTGCATGCGCCGTGTTTTCACTCGCAGCCGGACTGGTGGACACAGCTGCCTTACTGGAGGGCAGTGATGGCCTTGACTCGTGCAGAAGCGAGTGGTGCTTGCCACGGCAGTGAGGGCAACCGGAAGCAGCATTGCAGTCACGCGCCCAGTGACCTTCTCTTAGGCAACAGAGACACAAATTCAGTAGACGAACCAGCTCGTTACGTCTCGACGTTGAGAGTGCCTTGAACTCATTGCAGTTAGCGAGCTGATGCGGACCACTACACTTGCGGCACCTCTGTCGTGCTTGCTGCTGTGTCTTTGAGTGGCCAGACGTCTTGATCGGAGCTTCTTGAGGCCTTTTTGGCGCCGTAGCTTCAGTGCCTATGAAAGACCGTTGCTGCACGGGGCGCTGAACAGCTTCATGATGCCTTTTTCCATGGGAGGGTTGACGGTCTGGCTGCTCGGTACGGTCATTGGCATACTTTGCCGTCTTCACCTTTTCTAGTAGCCAGGTGGCAAACACCTTGATGTCGGTGTTACCGTCTCCGTGCCTCTCAAAATACCTGATGAGCGTTGTCCTCGGCACCTTTTCGGTAGCAATGATGCACAGCTCAGGGCCCGGTTCAGAGCCGCACAGCTTCATGTTGGCGATTAGGCTGCGTAGCTTGACCGCATACTGCTGCAGACCCTCCACGTCCCTTTCGTTAGTGACTCGGGGATGGTTGAGCAGATCTCGGATTTGTTGCTCCAAGTGTCGATCTGTGCCACCAAACCAAGACTCCAGCTCCGCCCACGCGGCGTCATATGCTCCGGGGCCGTCCAGAAGGTCTTCAATGAGGATAGCGGCTTCTCCGCCAGCAACGGCCTCGCGAAGGCGAGCCAGTTGGTACTCCTCAGGCAAAGATGAGTCGGCTACTTGCAAGAACCTCTGCCGCCATTGGATGTAATCGCACCCTTTTCCACTGAACTTCGGCACTTCTATTGGCTTCAACCAAGAATGCCCATATGGACTGATGTGTGGAGCAGCAGGCTGTGCATACTGAGTCTGATATTGACTGTGAGCACTAGGCGCGGCTGCCTGTGCAGAAGGCCGGTAAGCTCTTGGTGCAACACTGCGTCTTGGAGATGGAAATGCAGTCTTAGCTGCGTGAGCTGAGGGTAGTGGTGGAAGAACTGAAGATGAAAATGCAGTAACAGGCTTGGCGTGAGGACGTTGCTGTACAGAAGGCATTGCTCTCGCTCTGAATGCTCCACCACCCTGCCCTTGAGTTTGACTGGGTGCTCCACTCACAACTCTGTTCACTGCGACTCCAGGTGTACCAGTACCACTACCTGCACTAGCAACGTAGGCAGCACTAGACACTTGAGTAGCGGAGTGTTGATGATGTTGAGGCTGTCCCACAAGCACACTACTCTGAGTAACACTAGCAGTTGTGAATGTAGCTGCATGCACAGCGTGACCTGGAGGTTGCAACGAGGATCGAGTTCCAGAGCTAGTATCAGCGCTGCTGCCCCTGCCTTGCATTCCTGGACTGCCTCTAAGTGCTAGTGCACCTCTGGCCCTAAGCCTGCTATCAGGGTAATCACCCACTGTCCCATCATCTTGAGCAGCTCCATGAATGGCATGATCCCTTTGATCAGCAGCAGCGGCAGCAGGCGTTTGCCAGGGAACAGCAGTGCTGCATCCGTCAGTGACGCCACTGTGATACATACCAGTACTATACATAGTCACTACTGATGCATCATCATCACTACAAGCTCTCAGGCTGGAACTGACACCAGGGTCTCCAGAAAACTCCGTTCCTCCGTCATCAGCACTACGTGGCGCGCTGTGGGCAAAATCTTCGCCCTCTAGCTCTTCCTCTAGAGGCTGCGCTGACAAGTCACCATCGCCACTGGGCTGACTGGCTGACTCCAAAACTCCTGACTCAAGGAGCGAACTAACTTCTGCCAGCGGAGAACAATCCTCGTTCAACTTCTCAAACCACTTTTCCAACTTCTCCAATCCTTCAAAATCTGCATCGTCTCGCAATTGATTCCTGTGGTCCTCGACCACTTCTTCGATTTGTTTTACTATTCCTTCGGCGTCAGCCAGGTACTTTTTGAGGTACCTCGCACTCGGCGACGACTTCCCATACTCCGTGTTCAATACCTTCAGCAGGTTGGTCAGTCTTCTCCG